GGCTTGTGGTGGGGTGATGGCGACGAACAACACATACTGCTAGACGTGGCCCTCAAAGGGTTCGCTGTTCGTGTGTAAGGTTCCTTGGCTACCTGTCATCGACCCAAGGCAGACTCGTTGCTGCCACGTACCCGGCAGTAGAAAGTTCCCGGATGAAGGCCCCCAAACATTCCCTAACCCTAACCCTATTTCTACTTCCCGGTGTCCCGCCCGCCAAATAGGTGGGCGGCGAGTTTACCACCAGGTGGCCGTCGCGCCTGTAGGACCGATCACTGATGGGCAATCGTTCCTTCCTACCATGCCAAAGGTGTTTCAAATTATGTTTTCCCTATCCTATCTATCCTTCCGATAGAAATTCCTGGCGTTTCAGCCCACTTACTCTTCAGCCAATACAGTGGCCGCCTTCTCCTGGGAGGTGAGGGGGGTACTGAGAATCGTGCATGCCTTAGTCACTAGACGATGGACCTCGCATCCCTACAAAGCCGGGACGGAGCACACCGGGTCCTCACAGGATCCGGCTCGCCATCACCAAGCGCGAAGCGCCGTGAGGCACTCGGAGAGGCGCTTGAAGGGTGCGCTGAATCCTGCTAACGGTGTTGGGTATCTTGTGCGTACTTCCTGGCATACGAATGACAGCTGCGAATTGTCTCTTTTTTTTTTTCCGGTGCTTTCACATACAGAGACAGATAAAGCATTGTGCAACAACTGCCTCGACGGTGCTTGGCCAATGTAACACAATGTGGTGCGGTCATGCCCTTTGCACGGAGTGAGGGCTCTCGACCCCACACAACATGGTCATCGACCACCATCATGGTTACCGCAAAACAAAATGAGGAAGAACGATATCATAGTGGCTGGTTGTGGACCGCACTAAGCGATCGGCGTGCTTTACAACGTCGTTGCCAAGCGAAGCAAAGACGTCAGCCGGGCGGAAGTCAAAGGTACGGCGAGACTTTGGGGAATAACGTCGCGGAGGATGCAACATGCCTCGCAGTAACGTCATGCTCATGCAAAGCGTCCGTTGACTCGATCACACAGTTTCAGGGGTTTAGGCTTCGGCATGTGTGGGGGTACGCGGGAGAGCCCTGAAACGCAGGGTTTCAATGTATCCGCATTGACACCGCAGATGTGTGGAAAGTTGCCCAACACGTCCAAGACAACTTGTGAGTGTTACGTTGGGCAGTACTACTGCGTACGCTCATGGTCATAGGGTCATGTGCGCGTGTGTGGCCTCTCCAAACACCAAACACCTTTTCAGGACGACGTTGGTGGGCATGGCACACCAACGGTTGTCGAAATTTAAGAGGCTCGTAATACATGTATGACACAGTACTACTGTATAAGTAGCTCTCCGATAGAGGATGCAGGCGGGTGACCTCTTTTGCGGCCGTCCTTTGGACTTTCTATTCCTCGTGCACAATCACCAATCGCTAACGTCCGGCAATAATTGAGAGGAGTGGGCGGAGAGAAACCCAAGTGCATGGCGACTAGTCTACCCCACTGGACCTCCGCGGGGGTTTCCATGCATCTAGAACTATGTACTCCGAGTAGTCTGTATTCGTGTGTGTTTTTGCATACATTTGAATTGTTTCTTTCTTTTTGGGGGTTTGGGGGGGAGGGTCTGGCATTGTTGGGTCATGCAATCATAAATAAGAACTCCCGCACATCTAACCCCCCCCCCCGGAGGGTCTCCCGGTGTTTGCCACTGGGGTTGGGTTTTCGTGGCTTGGCAGCGACGTGGTAACACAAGCCGATTACTTCGTGAGCTCGGCAACCAGGTTACCGCTTTTTTTTGCCTTTGGTTTTTTTTTGCTGTATCCATGAATGGTTGGTGGTCGAGTAGATTATGTTGTGCGGGGTCGAGAACCCTCACTCCGCGCAAAGCGGATAATCGCACCACGTTGTGTAAAATTGGTCAAGCACCCTCGAGGCAGTTACACAGTGCTTATAACTAACTGTCTCAGGAAGTGAAAGCACCAGAAAGTAAATTAAGTCAACGCAGCTGTCATTCGTCCGCAAGGAAGTAAGCACAAGATGCCAACAAACGACACACCAGAACCAAATAACACATAAACACCATGTGTGGAACATCATCAATCCAAGCTTACTCAAGCCGGGCGAATTCCGGAGAGGGGCTGGCGATAAGCCTACGGTGGTGGCTTCACCTTCGCCACGTGCAACACCCGTACACAATTACAATTTGCCGTGCGTTGGACATATTATCAAGCCCACCTCCCTCAACAAGACTAAACAGCCGCTTCTTCGAGCGCTTTCGCCTCGAGCGCCTCCATCCTCCCTCTTCCTCCCTAACCCTACCCCTAACCCTAAGCCCCTCCAACCTGGGCTACGGTGCCGCCGGCTGCGGTACAGGCAAGCTCGCCCAGGGGCTACGTGGATTGTACTACCCCCGTGCATGAAATGTGCCCCCTTTAAATGGGATTTTTTTGTATGGACTCGATTAATAAAGGAAATTGTATGGCGTTGGGTGGGGGGGGGCGTACTCTGATGTTTTGCATGCCTTAGCGGTTACACTATTGACCACGCGTCCTCGAGAGGACGGAGCACTGTGTTCCCACTGGACCGATCACCGATGGCCAACCGTTTCTTCATACTTTGCCAAAAGTGGTTCAAAAATATCTTCCCTAGTCCATATATCCTATCGATATCACTTCCTGCCTTTTCAACCCACTTCCTATGCCCCAGCACAGCTACCGTCTTCATCTGGCTATTTCATGCCTCAACCACCTCCCTGTATCTCCTTCTATTTTTCGCTGCCCAGTCGTGTCCACCTCCCTCTCTTGTACAACGAGCATTCCGCAACTACATGATGAACAAGGTCTTCGCACTCGGAGCCGCAATCACATTTGAACTACTTTGCCTTCATCGTCTAGACTAGATACCTTCCTAAATCTTCGGCTACGTTCTCGAATGCCAATGTCCCCGGTTCTGAATTCCACCTTCAGCTCTGTCCCGGCATCCATTGGCCTATGTAGGTACTCCTTGAACCCTATTCCTTCTTCCAACATTCCTTACAATTCTAGAACCTCCTTTTACTTGGGTTCTTTGGTTAGATTCTGTTCTTCTCTCTCGGCACAAGCAACAGGGGGGGGCTCC